AATTAGGGAAGAGAGGTGAAAAATGTTAGACCAAACACTGTGTAACACAATTACTGCAGTATGCCTACTTATTAGGGGTGTTGAAAATAATGGTTTCTACGATGCATTGCGATGCGGACGTGGACGATTCGGTCTCGATGCAGTGACGGAAGATAATCGGTTATAGCGTAGTAACGTTGCTTCCTGATTTTCCGGCCGCGGCTTTACTATAATGTTTTTTTTATCTGTCACTTTAATATAAAATCGGTCGGTGACGCAGAGATCAGGGAACAGACGTGACAGCGGCACAGCAACACCAAACATGGAGCAGTCTGCTTTATCCACCAACATAAGAACACCAGTCCAGAACCAACAGCAGAAGGACCCGCTCTGAATCACTCCGTGTCGCTGCGGCACAGGGATTTATGTTTTTCAAAAATAATCGCGTTACAATCATGTCAGGTTTTTGGTGGATTTAATTAAGTCTTGGATTGCAGAGTATGAATGTCCTCTAGCAATTTTCAGACGATATATACGTGTGTAAAGTTTGTGAAGGCAGCAGGAAAAAAGCTTCCGCGATCACCGTCTCCTCTGTTCCTCTAAGCCCCGCCCCCCTGAAAATAATGAGTGACAGGCTGATAGTGACCCGATAGAAACTTTATTATTCACTTAATCACTGAGATATAATGAAGCTAACTTAATCTCATACATTCATGGGATTTATGTAACAGTAAGACAGAGAATGTAAGTGTGCACCCACATGCAGTATTTTAGTTGTTATATGCTATTGTAAATACTCCTGTTGTCTGCTGTGTGTGATGCCACATTCAGGACATTCAGGACATTCAGTGTCCTTTCTTTAACAGAAGACTGTAGCTAGAAGCTGCAGCTAGACTGCAGAAGCATTAGTTTTTTGTTTTTGAGGATGGAACAACTTCACACACAGATATAGGGAGGCTAGACCTATACAATTCATTTATTTTGGTTTATAAATGAATGTCAAGACATTTATGTTATTGATTTCTGAAGCATTTTCTAAATAATAAAAAGAGAGTTCATATGTATTTACTGCACGTATGCATTGATGAACAATAAGCCATGTGCAGTGATATAGAAAATTGAGGATGCAACGCATTGGTATGAATCGTGATGCATCGGGGAATCGAATCGTGAGACCAGTGAAGATGCACAGCCCTACTACTTATTGGGCAGTACTTGCCATTATGAATGAAACAACATCTTGCTTTATCACTTCCCATCCCAACCCTGGTATTACTGACAACAGCTCCAAAATGACATCCTTCCTCAAGATAATAGGATGAATTGTTACTATGGCATGCCTGTCTATAAGTATGTTGATTCAGAATGTCATGATTCTGTCAGTTTATTGGATTTTCTCTGTGCGTTTTGAAAGATGCCAGTCAACCTGTCCACTCTGTCTGAAGAGGAGCGTCGAGCGCGACAGAAAAAGAGAGCCGTGAAGAAGACGAAAGAACTAACAGCAATCGACTATGAGGACGACTTCACAGCAGACAAATACAGCAAATTCTGGAAGAAGAAATGATGAAAAGAAACAAAGAAACAAGACATTGCAGATCAGAATAGAAGATTTAATTTGTGCATATAGTATGTTGTGATTGTATTGTATTATTGCCAAAAAGGACTTGGTATAAAAACAGAAATGGCGGAACATTGACTCTTTCGTATGGCAAAGAGACATGTAGCGGGAACTCTGAATCCTTACAGTCTCAACAACCTGCCCAAGCTGGAATCCATAACAATGTTAAGTCAATAAATTGGTTTGAAGCTGTGTATCTCGGGTGTTGAATTTATTAAAACTCACGGAATATTTAGAGAATGTTGATGGGCTTGATGTTTTGCACATGCCCTGATTGATTGATTTATTTTAAATACAAAAAGTATTTTTTTGTTACTCATATGGAGGAAGAATCAGTTAATTTGACACTAAAGTGTACTTATTTCAGACCTTTACATATATTATTGAATAAACCTTTCTAGCACAAAGGTTAGGCACAGATTCATGTTATCTCTTCACAGTCCAGCAGGTGACATTGATGCAAGAAAAACTTAACATCAAAATTACGTTTCTTGCATTTCATGGATGTGAGCCTGTGAGGAAATGGTAAACATGCGTTATTCGGATGTAGAAGGTTCAGAGTAGATAGGGAAAAACTGAACGAAAGGGTTGTAGACATGGCAAAAGAATGGAGCCCAAAAGGGCTGTCGGAAGCAGTTTCAGGTTCAAAGGGCCTTGTTTAAATGTTTAACTTATAAAACGGATAGGATATACAGAATATAATTAACTTGTTTATTTTATTTGTATTTATATAGGACATTGGTCTTAATGATATGACAAACTCCGGCACAGAAGGTGGCAGCATACACATCTAACGTTGGTTTGTAGTCCGCCATTAAAACTAAAGAAGAAGAAGAAGTAGACGTTTATCGCGAGAACTCCAGATTGCGTCCTTGCTAAAGCCGAAATGGGGTACTGGGACATACCAGAGGGCACTGCCTGCGTGCAGAAAACATGGATCAGTACAAAGCTAGGCACAGCTTTGGGTAAATATCAGCATTGATACATAAACTGCGAGTCAATGTGACTGTGAACGCTGGGGCGCGAAAGATAACGAACAGTAGCATTCATGTTTGAGCTACCGCTAACGTTAGCAAGTTAGCCCAGGTCTTGTATCTGCTATGTAAGATGTTTTCAGGTCAACTTCCAACCTAACTCTGTGATAAACTACTTTGGTTTCCCATAATTCAATGTATAGTAGAGGCAGTGAGCTAACAACACACATTTATATTGGAGTTATGTGGAGTCGTATGTTCATTTGACATCTAAAGTGGAACGTATGTGACTAAACTGATATCGGGTTATTGATAAATGATTTCAAAAGAAAACTTTGAACCAAGTTTTTGGTCATACTTTTGCCAAATATCAAACATTTCCTTTGTAAAGACGACAATATAACGCTGAGTTTTTAAAGGCTTCTTATCACGTATAAATCTCACCTTTCTGTCAGCTGGACTTACACCTGCACTTTATCTACTGTAGCCTATGTTTCTATATCTACACTATGCCTAAGTATCTGAGATAGTTTCGCGTGAACATCCAGTAGATCAGTCCGTCTTGCACCATGCTACGTTCAAAGTCACTTTGTAATACTATTAAAGACCTTGGAATAGAGATGAGAAGAAAAATATGACTTCAAAGGTTTTCCTTTTGCTATAATAATCACCTCAAGGAATTACAGTGATAGCACATAAACATTGTTTTCCTCATATGTATAAACACATAAATAAAGAAGAAGAATTATTAAATAAGTGGACTGTGATATTTTCCCCTTTGTTTTAGAAGCCTCTTCTGCCAATATACACTGTAATATTCATTTATTGTGATGCATTAATGACTGATGCTGGATTATTATTCCTGTTTTCAAGATGCATGTATTTTATTTGCATGCTTTTTGGATAATGCAATCAAGATGGAGTTGGTGTTAACATGACAAACCAATGTCCAGTTGTTAACATGGGGTCATGCTGACGCTGACTGAAGAGCTGAAAGAGTACACTCAGCTCGATTAGAATTTGACCTATTCTTGGGACTTAAGGTCCATTTGACAATAAAGCCCTTGAACCTTGAACTATTTGTTAAAGTGTGTGTTACTTTGTGTGTGTTTTCAGGCATGGTTGGTTCAGCCTACCACCTTGTGGCAGTCCAGCCTGAATCTACAATGGCAGGGCTACAGAGGGCCACCAACATAACTGTATCCTTGGGTAAATATTCATGATTTAATATTTTAGAATCCGTCTGATTTAAAACACAAGAATAAGACTTCTTTGTGACCTCAAAAAAAGACCACCCATTATCACTGATGAACCCATAGCCGTTCAAACAGCAGTTGTCCCCTGTTCTCCTGCTGCTCACATCTTCAGTAAACCTCTCAGAAAGATGCTCGAGATGTCTATAGGTCACTTCTTGACCAGGTACCTAAAGTCTGCCCCTTAAAAATGTTTTTTTCCACCAGAGGTTTGGTTACTAACAATATCCTCGAGCTGGTGGACACCGAGAGGTTTTTCTTTAATTAAACGGCAGACAATTTGTGCAGTAGAAGATATACCACTTTGTTTTTGGTTACTAAAATATTCTTAAAAGCAGAAAAAGTCACATAATGACAACAACAGTATTTGGCAATAAGGATATCAAATTGTAGCGTGGCATTCAGCCCAACATGAGATTACATTTCACCATCACTTCCGTTCCTAAGAGTCGTGCTCTGGCTGTTTTTTCACACTGGTGCACCTGACATTGTGAGAGTTATGAAAAACTGCCATTTAAAAACTATTTTCTCAGACTGTACTGTATGTACTGTAACTGTACATTATGATTAACATCAGCTACGTGTGTGTGTGTGTGTGTGTGTGTGTGTGTGTGTGTGTGTGTGTGTGTGTGTGTGTGTGTGTGTGTGTGTGTGTGTGTGTGTGTGTGTGTGTGTGTGTGTGTGTGTGTGTGTGTGTGTGTGTGTGTGTGTGTGTGTGTGTGTGTGTGTGTGTGTGTGTGTGTGTGTGTGTGTGTGTGTGTGTGTGTGTGTGTGTGTGTGTGTGTGTGTGTGTGTGTGTGTGTGTGTGTGTGTGTGTGTGTGTGTGTGTGTGTGTGTGTGCAGCCACCATGGGGGCGGTCTTCGGCATGGCGACTTGCCTCAGTGCTCAGGCTCGTGACGCTCCAGATGACCCTTTCAACTACTTCGTCGGGGGGTGTGCCTCTGGGATCTTCATTGGAGCCAGAAGTAAGTGAAATCCTGACGCTCATTCAAAAGGTTCTGCCGATCCAGCAGCTCACCTAGCATTAGCATCACTGCAGCTACCTGTAGTTGACTATTAACATGACCCTGAAAATCAGGCTGACCTGAATACTTCGATTCCTTCACTGTTTCCATGCTGATCAATGTCCAAATCAGAATTTAAATGCAGCGTTTCATTTTGTCTTTGAAATATGCATTACCAAAACAAAATCTGAAATAGCCAATACATTAAGGGATAGTTATCAGGACTTAGGGAAAGACAAGTGCACTGGGCGTCATAATTATGGAAAACTACAATTTCCCATGGATGGACTACAAAAAGCACATATATATACTTCGAGCCGTGCGTGGTTATGATCTTGTTTCATGCAGGCTTTATTCAGGTGGATAACTGTGAGAATATATTACTCCATTACCAAGGTTTGAATACAAATATAAGTGAAACTCAATGGTTGCTTGCGCTCACCCTCTTTGTCAGCTTATTTATTGAAATTAATACCAATTAGTGTTATTGTATAAAACACCATTTAAACATGTTCGATTAAGGAAAAAAGCTTAAGAAACACCACTCAACTCAGGAAACACCTTGAAAGGTTGACTTTATTTGATCATTTTATTGTATTTGGCGTTATGTTCTCCGAAGCCCTGGAGGGTTCATAGAGAGAAAAATAAATAAAACGTGACCACGTTTTACTTTCTCATGCGCACGCTTTAGTAACTCGTGCGCACGAGTTACTAAAGCGTGCGCACGAGTTACTAAAGCGTGCGCACGAGTTACTAAAGCGTGCGCACGAGTTACTAAAGCGTGCGCACGAGTTACTAAAGCGTGCGCACGAGTTACTAAAGCGTGCGCACGAGTTAATAAAGCGTGGCCTCGTTTTATTTAAATTGAGGGATTCCTGTCCGTGACTCACAGTATCTGCTGCCCACAGCTGTTTTATAGAAGGAAAACCTCCTTCACTTTATGAAATCTCAGCGGCACCAGTGGCCTGTACTACGAAGCAGGATTTGCTTTTTACACTATTCATTCATGAAGTATGACGCTGCGCTGTCAGCACGCGTCTCCATGTTTGTGATTGGTCAAATGTTGGTAACCCCGTCCCTTTCACGTGAGCGCGCTCTCAGCCGGACAGAGAAACCCTGGTTGATTTACTGAGTTGATAACCAGCTTCGTAGGACCGCTTATCGACATCGCGTTTGTTAGGGTCAGTTAAGCCGGGTAAATCGAACATATTCAGGTCCAGGGTCTGTTGAACTGGCTTCGTCGTACAGGGCACTGGAGGCAGTAACGTGTAACTCAGCAGAATCTGAGAAGAGCAGCACCAGCTGCAAAGAGCTGTGCCTTTTACTGTTTACTTTACTAGAACCGCTGAATAAAGATCGAGGCTGCTACGTTTAACCACACACACCTATACACACATCGAACTGAGTATTCCCCCTCGCTTTATGAAGGAGATGTCCTGTCACCGGGGCGCATGATGTGTGTGTGTGTGCTCAGCTCCGCTCTGTGTGCGTGTTCGTGTGTATCCGACACCACCGGCATTTGTTTTCAAATTACCACGAACAGCACACGCACACACACAAAACGAGGCCACGCTTTAGTAACTCGTGCGCACGCTTTAGTAACTCGTGCGCACGCTTTAGTAACTCTTGCGCACGAGTTACTAAAGCGTGCGCACGAGTTACTAAAGCGTGCGCACGAGAAAGTAAAACGTGGCCACGTTTTATTTATTTTTCTCTCTATGAACCCTCCAGGGCTCCGTAATGTTCCTATTTCGCCTTCTGGTTTAATAAACTATTGAAAGTTCAAAACATATAAGCTCTTTGGCAGGTTATGGCATAGGATGGAAAATGTTTCATAAGCACCGTAACGTATAAGTCTGTTGGCTCTTATCATGGCAGCCACTCGGGTTCTTTTGGGTCATTTCAATCATACAAGCAAAATAGACAATTAGACTGCAACCCAGTTATTGGAGTTATATGTTGGTTTTGGCTGCACTCTATTTATTTGTTAATTCATTTGTTTATCGCCCTACATCCAGCACGTACCAAGCATGATGTAAGGTATCTCAAACTAATGACCTATTTGCAGTGGTGTAAAGTAACATTTACTGTACTTAAATCAGACTTTAGTTCCACCTGGAGTTATGAACCATCCAGATCTCTCAGGTCTTCAGGGACTGGTCAGCTTTCTGTCCCCAGAGTCAGAACTAAACATGGTAAAGCAGCATTCAGTTATTATGCTCCAAATATCTGGAACAAACTCCCAGAAACCTGCAGGTCCGCTGCAACTCTGACTACTTTTAAATCCAGGCTGAAGACTTTTCTTTTTGTCGCTGCTTTTAATTGAACTATTCATATCTTAGACTGCACTGTAACTTTTATCCATGTATTTTTTCTTTTAATGTTTATTTTATTAGCTTTTCTTTTTAATGACTGATTTTAAATGCCTTTTTCTTAATGTCTTTCATTTTTTGTAAAGCACTTTGAATTGCCTTGTGTTGAAAAGTGCTATATAAATAAACTTGCCTTGCCTTGCCTTGGAGTAAATCCACAAGCTACCCTGCAGTATACAAAGTCATTCAAACTAGCTGCACCTTTACCAGCTTTGAGAACACTTTCATGATCAATCATTATAAAACATCTCATATATATTATTCTGAAATGGACCAATCTGCACAATGACTACTTTTACTATTGCTACTTTCACTATATTTTGATGATCATACTTTTATACTTTTACTTGAGTAACATTTTGAATGCAGGACTTTTACTGTAACAGAGTATTCCTACACTCTGGTACTTCTATTTGACTTAAGTGCAAGATCTGAGTAATTCTTCCCCCCTGGTAATTCAACCAGTTTTAAAACTGTCATTACTGAATTGAAGTCTATAAAACAAACCAATCTCCTCTGCTCTTCTTCTGTGTGTGGACCTTAACCCCCCCTCTGTGTGTTTCCAGCCCACAGTGCTATAACCGGGACGTCAGCCTGTCTGGGTCTCGGTGTGTTGGCCTTCTACACTAAAGTGGGCAAGATGGAGGGATGGAAGCTGGCAGGACCTCCCATACGATGAGCGGAAGATGCTACGTTTAACCCTGTTGTAAAAAGAGTTTATGTAATAAAGTACCAGTTATTGATGTTAGTCGTATTACAGTAATATTCTACATTACACATAGATTAAAACATAGAGGTATATGTAGAGTGACATGCATTGTCCTCATCGAAAAACAGCAATGCCAATCTACTCAGTAATGTACATGGGGCTATAAAACTAGTCGCCAAAGACCCCACCGTCTCAACCACCGGCAGTGACCCAGATGGAGCAACACCATCTAAACAGCCAAAAAACGATCTTTTTAAATCGCAGTTTTGTGTTTTATTGTTTCACTATTTCATAATGATAATTGCTACAATGATGGGGAGTTGTCTTTTCTCTTACTGTGCCACAGAACAACACACAAACTTGTATTTTTATTGTTATTATTTTTAAAGTAAAGTAACGTGTTACTAGTTACTTTTATAATTTAGTAACTAACAAAGTAACTAGTTACTTTTTTGAGAGCAGTAACTATAACTATTACTAGTTACTTATTAAAAGTAACTTGCCCAACACTGTTCATGCTGTAAAAGTGTGCCTTTTAACATGGATGGCCATGGAGATTGACAGCACACACCTACACAAAGTGGAACCAGTGGGAATACACGTGTGCAAAACAAATTATCATTAAGAAAATGCCTTCATGTATGCACCATCCTTAAATAACTTTTGCGGCAAAATTAACCAAACAAAAAAGTTCTCCAGAGGGAAATATCAGTTCATCACATTAATTACTTTTTCGGTGAAAGACAGTTTTTCCAGTTTCATCATGATTTTCAGATGTGCAGTTACCTCAACTGCACAACTGAAAATCATGATGAAACTTACGATAGCTTAAGTTGTGTGAAAATGTCAGTCCTTGGAGCTTCACATATATGGAGATAACTTCCTGCCATAACTCCACAAACAAACTAAACATCTTTTACAAATGCCCTTTGATTCACTAAGAATTGCATTTAGTTTTGCATTCGGTATTCTGATTCTGATTTGCAAATGAAAAATGTACCTATCAAATAAACACCACTTTTTTCTAATAAATCATTTTCCAGAAACAAACAGGATTTTTCTCACAAATGTCCTGAGTGAGTCTTCACAGCAGCAGAGGGCGCTACTGAGTCATTTAAACGGAGGGGGTGGGCAGAGCAAGTAACAGCCCTTGCCAGTCTGATTACGGCGGTTTGCCGAGCGTTCCGATACCAGACTACATTTTACAATATTTGGTCAACAGGTGAGTTTGTTGTTGTTTCCGGTGAAAAATCTAATGTTAAATAAACGAAGTTACTGTTTTATGAGTAGGATGACATGTAGCAGACCGCAGGAGCTAGCTTACACCAAGCTAGGCTAATTTTCATTTATATATATATATATATATATATATATATATATATATATATATAATTGGTATAATATAACTCCTGCAGCCTGCTTTTATCATCCTACTCATAAGACTTTTTTTCAGCAAAATATATTACACAAACACATTATCCCCCAAAGAAGAAATACAGCAAACTTACAATACAAATCAATTAATACTTAAATTAATAACACACACATACATACATGTTGACAGTGTTCGCTGTCAAAAATAATTCAGAAGAGAAAACTCAAATCAACATTATTTCTTACCAATAATGTAAATGGGCAATTGAAATTGTTAAAAGGCTCAAACAGTAGCTGAACAAGCAGGTAGACGAGAAGCTACATCAAATTCAATTAAATCATATCTAGCATATACATTGACAAGGTTACATCCAGTTCCTCTCCAAAAAATGTGTCAGGCTTTCCCTTTAAAGCAAGGTAAGCAAAGGTTAATTTCTCTAAGGCCAGATAATGAGAGATATTTAATATTGTAAAATGTAATCTGGATTAGTGTAAAGTAATTACAATTAGCTGCACCTTTACCAGCTGTGATAACACTTTAATACATCAATATTCATTATCAAGACATATATATTATTCTGAAATCGGCCAATCTGCATTATGTATTCTTTTACTTTTGATGCTTTAAGTATATTTTGTTGCTTGTACTTTTTTACTTTTAGTCGAGTAATATTTGATTGCAGGACATGTACTTGTAACAGAGTATTCCTACACTGGGGTAAGATCTGAACATCTACCAGCTCTGACCTTTGCAAAAATGCAAAAAATGGCTTACTTACTAATGTCAGCTTATCATTATTTAAACCACGTGCAATTACACACAATTGTTTGCAATTATGGAGCTTTTGGATTTGACAGTGAATGTATTGATATTAGTCTGTTACAATATCAACTGCACAAATAAAACATGTGTATATAGACGGATAACTACAGGTTAGAATAAGTGAAGATCTAATTCAGCTATTAGGGTGGCTCTGCTCATGATTAATTGTTTTGAGTGAAAGGAATAAACCAATATATTCAAGATCGAAAATGTGTCCTCTGCTCAGAGATTTTATTGATAGGAAAACCTGCCTCTCATTTAGCATATTCAGGCAGTAGCCTACCCCAACAATAAAACACATAAGCACATGCTACAGTTTAAAAAAGCAGAAATGCTCTGTTTTAGTTTAACATACCCACGCAGCTCACACACACTATTTTATTAACATATAGATTCACCTACGGAATTAAAAAAATAACAAATGAACCAAAGAAATGGAAACCATAAAGCAGATTCAGGGCGTATAGATTCACACTTAAAGTATTAGCCTACAGAGCAGTACAGTTTACAGATAAGAAATAAATACTGACCCTTTTACACTATATGCTCCTTACCAAACCAGGTGTCCACCTACTGAACTGTAGAAAAAAGAAAACCACATGAGACACCCAGGCTCAGGAGAAACTACATTTCCCACAAGCCCTCTGAATTCCTGATCCCTCCCCTTCTGCTGGAACCTTATCGGATGGAAGTGATTTGTGTGTTGGCCACCGCCCTTGGGAACTCTGCAGTGCAGTCTAAAGGCCATTAGAGGCAGACCGTTTTTGCTGATAACATTTTGCTTATAAATATTGTATGATAATTAGATTGTGAGACACATGTAAGTTCCTCATAACAGATTGTGTTAATACCTTCAACACGTACACAATCAAGTTCCATAGATACAGTGGATGGAACAGTATGGTGGTACTCCCCCTGATGCAGCCTTCAGTAACGCCTTAATATTAAGCTACTGTTGTATTTTTGTAAAATGATATTCTGTGTAAGCAGGGTGGGTCTTCATCGTGGACTCCCCCTCCCCATTCTTACATGCTCAGCACACTGTTGGGCTGTGGCTGCGCATAGCCTGCTGGGGACTGTCTGGCTGCATCAGCATCAAAAGGACTTCCTGCTGAACTCTCTGGAGAGCAGCCAACCACACACAGCCCTCTTAAAGACACATGACGCATGCTGAAAGATGGGGAAAATCAATGTAGGGCTGCATTTCTGCCTGTGTGTTATAAAGAAAGCAAATGTACAGTGTTTTGCTAAAACTCCACATATATATGTATCTTGTGAAATATAGCATATTCATGCTCCACCCATGTAATACAGTAGATTCAGTACAGTTTTGTTATGTTAATGTAAATGTACGGTTCTCAATGGGAGGCTCTCATTTCTTATTCATATATTCCGCCCAAAGGCGTAGACCTACAGTTCACCAGCAGTGAGGTAAGAGGCAGGCTGGTAGATGGGTGGCTATGCCTGAATCTTATTGTTTAAGGATGATCATTTCACCCAGAAATCCCACATAATATTAATGTAGATACTTTGCATTAAGAGTATTATGTGTGAATGGGTGAATGCTGACTTATATCTGTCAAAGCACTTTGAGAGATGGCATACCCTGGAAAGGAGCTGCAGTATATAAATGCAGTCCATGCAGTATAACAAAGGAAATGGATCAAATGGCATTTTGTGTAGGGGAACACGTCAAAGGTAAAATGACTGTCTTAAATTAATGTTACGCGATTCTTTTGCTTTGTATGCTATTGGTTAGAATGGAATTGGAGTATTTCATGTATTTCTAAATACTCTCCAAACATTTTTACAAGGCTTCATCTCTATTTAAAGTAGCTGAGCCCTTGTGTTTTCCAGCATCTTTTACAACACAAGGGTGTGACCCGCAGTCAAAAAATGAAGTTTGTCGAGACACACTTTGATACCGTGTCTATGGCCTCAAGGTGTGGAGGTCTGCAGCAGAATGTGAGCCTGGCTGAATGCTGCGGCAGTCGGTCAGTAACCTGATCTGAGAGTGAATCAGTGTTTCTACATGAGCCCAGCTGCTCCTGTCTACTGGCCCAGCCCCTTTACCCATCCCATAATATCTATATAGGGACAGTCAACTATTCCCACAGCTTATGCATTATTGTTCTTTCAGTGAATGTAAGTGTTAGTTTATAATTGTTATAATTAATTGTTCCATATCATTACACAGTTTGTTATGCCTGTTATTATGGGGGTGACGGAAACATTTGGAACCCACGGGCTACAGGTTCAAAATCCCATTTAGATGGAATCTAATAATGATCTAGAGCTAGATTTTGTGGTCCATTTGTTTTGTTGTGTTTTTGTTTTTGAACATTCGGGACAGTTGAACAATTGAGAATCAGCAAAAATGTCATTATATGTTAAATCAAGAGCCACATTTCTTTCCAGAAACATGTCCCACAAAGAGTGAGTTGAGTTTCTGTGTTTTTTCTGTCCAAATGACATCAGTGGATTCAAAGTGATTCGTGGTTAAGCATTAACGTCTTATTGTTGTGTCCGTCCCAGCAGCTTCTGATCCTCCGTGAAATATTGATCTAGCCGCTTTAGGCTGGGTGCTGAATGCTGCAGTGTTTTGAGAGATGCTGAGTCATGGGAGCACTGCTTCAACAGGGCTTCAAAGAAACACAGTGTGGTACCTTTCTGTAAGCACACTGTAGAAGGTGCTTCATCATGAAGTACTGTACTCATACAAAGCATCAAACGGCAACATCTCCTCCCATTGCACTGAAACGTTTTTTCATGTATTAAGCTACAGCTGTCACCACAAACCACTCAATGCACTTCATCCCCCTAAAGAAAGAGATATATGAATTATTAATAAATAATAGCACAAGTCAACAGACTGAAGAGGAACAAAACTGAGTGAGATCAAAGAGTATGCACAAAGTCCTGGGGCTGTCCTTACATCCTGTTTGGCTCAGTCACTGTCATTACTGAAATATGCCAACATGTTAGTCAAGCTTAGTTAGTTAGTATTAAGTTAATGCATCTACATAAAGTGGTGCAGTGCTGGTGCATTTTGTAGACCAACTCTGAAGTAAGCATCGCAAGGGCTCCTTTGACAAAAAGCAATGTGAGTTTTCCATTGAATCCAGAAAAGAAACAGCTCTGTGGGGCTGTATGACGCAGCAGTCGATTACACTATATGCTTACCTAATCTGCAAAGTAAGTGACAAAGCTAACGATTAGCAAGCAGGTTTGCTCATTAGCCTACTTTGTAATATGCAATCGTATGCAGAGCCAAGATAACGAAAAAGGGTCAAATCAAAGGCTACAGTAGCTTAACCTTGTTGGTCGGTGTCTGCATGTCAAATGTTGCCCCGTAGTCTCAGCAAGCAACTGAAAATGACAAGGCAGACTGCAAAGAATGGCTCCAGAACAAGCCTCTGTTTGTCAGATTACAATGCACACACATGAGCATGAACTATATACTGTATGGTAAGCATTGGTGTTCCTGTGAATATATCTAGGCCCAATAACTATTCATGCACTATTGAAAGCCTTTACCAGTCTGTGCAAGAACTAATCTACATAAAAATGTATGGCATGCGCATGGATACTGTGCTGAAGGCTAACGATTATATGCAGCCCTGAACTAAGGCCCAGAAGTCTGCTAAACCGAGCAGGAAAGCTTATCATCATGGCAACAACAATCTGGTATTGATACTCCCCCAGTTGTTAGAAACATGGGCCATGTAGGAGCACCGGCGAATATCCACTTTCTCGCCTTGATTGATTGATTGAAAAGTTTATTAACAGCTTGTATATTGGGTACAGTACAGTACAGTACAGCTCAAAACATACA